CGTTGACCACTTTCGAAACATTACAGACGATGAAAGCCGATTAGCAATACTGTGTTCTTCCGATTGGAGGATTTCTTCTTCTTCTTCTTCTGCCTTTCTATCCCCCAATGGAGCATAGGCCCTCAACCAACTCACGCCAAGTCGTTCTATCCTTCGCCATTACATGGAGCTCTCCCCATGTCCTCCCAATCTTTCTAACCTCATTCTCCAGCTCTCTTCATGTGTTTTTTGGCCTTCATTTATTCCTATGCCCCTGTGGGTTCCAATGCAAAGACATTCTAGTTATGCTGTTCTCCTGTTTTCTCAGTGTGTGCCCTATCCAACGCCAGCGTCTTTTCCTCACCTCCTGATCCACTGGAGCCTGTTTAGTTCTCTCCCAAAGTTCTACATTAGTTATTCTATCATACCATTTTATTCCCTCTATTCTGCGCAGGCACCAGCTAATGAATGTCTGCAATTTATTAGTAATTGCCTTCGTTGTTCTCCATGTTTCCGCCCCATACAATAGTACTGATTTGACATTAGAATTAAAAATTTTTAGTTTAGTATTTCTTTTAATTTCTTTTGACCTCCACAAATTCCCTAGTGCTATGAAAGCCCCTCTTGCCTTTTGTATTCTTATTTTAATATCTCTATCAGTTCCTCCATCTTTATCTACATTACTGCCTAAATGGGTGTACGACTCCACGTCTTGGAGTGGGGTGCCATTAAGAGAAACCACATTACTATTTGCCTGATTTATCTCATTATCTTTGTCTTTCCTTTATGGATATTCAGACCAAGCTGCTGTGATCTCGCATTAAGTATATTTAATTTATCTTGCATCTGATTCCGTGAATGGGACAGAAGAGCAATATCATCAGCGAAGTCCAGATCATCAAGCTGTTTTATAGGGGTCCACTGAATTCCATTCTTGGTGTTAGCAATTACTGTTTTCATAGTCCAGTCTATAGCCAGTAAAAACAAGAGAGGCGACAAAAGACATCCCTGTCGCACACCTGTTTTTATTTCAAATGCATCTGTTAGCTTTCCCTCATGAAGAACTCGACATTTCATGTCTCTATATGTTGCCTTTACTAAGTTGATAATTTTCTGTGGGATTCCATAGTGCCCCATCAATTTCCAGAGAGATTCCCTATCTATGCTGTCAAATGCTTTTTCATAGTCTATAAATCCAATGTAAAGTGGTGAGTTCAGTTCAATACTTTGCTCTATTATAATACGTAAGGTGGCTATCTGATCAGTACAGGATCTGTTTGACCAAAAACCTGCCTGCTCATCTCTTAGCATTTTATCAATAGCATCTTTTAATCTTTCCAAAATAATTCTACTTAATATTTTTCCAGGAACTGACAGCAACATAATTCCTCTATAGTTTTCACACTCCTGTAAATCACCTTTTTTGGGCAGTTTCACAAGATATCCTTCTCTCCAGTCTGCTGGTATTTCTTCGGTCTCCCAGACTTTACTGAATAACCTATGTAGCAATTCTGTTGATGTGTTTATGTTGGTCCTGATGGCTTCAGCTGGGATACCATCTGTGCCTGACGCCTTTCCTTCCTTAAGAAGATTTATAGCTTTTCTAATTTCCTCTTTGGATGGTATCTCACAGTTGATATCCAGTTCCATTTCTAAAGGCTGGATATCTGGGGTAACCTCTGGGCCTGGTCTATTTAGAAGCATTTCAAAATATTCAACCCATCTGTCCATTTGATCTTTAGTGTTAGTAAGTACCTTTCCTTGACTATTTTTGATAGATCCAGTTGGCTGACTATATTTACCTACTAATTTTCTTGTGTTACTGTAAAGTTCTCTGAGGTTTCCTTTTGCTGCTGCTGTCTCCGCTTCTTGTGCTAGATCATTTAGATATTTCACTTTATCTGCCCTTATATGCCTCCTAACTTCCTTGTTGGCTTCTGTGTAATTCTTCTGAGCTCTAGCTTTAGCAGCTCTAGTTTTGCTATTGTTTAATTCTGCCTTTTTACTTTTCCTATCTTCAATCAGTTTAATGGTTTCTGGTGTTATCCATGCTTTATGTTTCCTTTCTTTCTTGCCAAGAACTTCTACACAAGATTCCTTCCAGATTCCTTTGATCTGATCCCAGCAGACTTCTGTGTTGACATCTTCAGCTAACTGCTGCAACACCTGGTACTTATTAGAGACCGTAACTGAGAACTGTTCCTTAATTTCTTTATTGGAGGATTTAGCAGCGGTAAATGTCAGACTTGTCGGCATGCGCCACACGCGATCAAACTCATCGCCGAGGAGTATCCTCCGCGCCGCTACGCGCGGCGCGGATGCGGGGCTAAACTAGGTGCCTGGGACTCAAGAGTAAAGTAATTGGAGGAAGTTGCAGGAGATGCGGTAGCTGCTGCTCGTGAGTCCCAGCCATCTAGTTTAGTTCCCCCATCTACGCTACGCGTGGCGCGGGGGATACTGTCGGCGGTGAGGCACACTGGCAGAAGCAGGTCCGCAAGTAACGTATCGCCGAGACCCTGTTAGAGCATATATTTCGTTATGCGGAGCCGGCACATATATTGTTGATAGAACTGAGCCCCAATCGGATATTTTTGGATATTTTATGGTCAGAAATTGGCCAATTTAGCTCTCTTTCAGACGGCATCATAATACGGCCACCATTTTGGGGTTAAGTTCAAAGGAGAGCCCACATTTGATACTTGCCATAGCTGTTGTGTTGTGATTCTCTGTGTGTGACGGTGGGAATAGACTGCGTCCCTGATGCAGCTACTCGAGGGGTCCAGATACAAACAAATCCCCCCACACTCTCACAGAATCACCTGCGCTCACATTCACACATGCACGCACGCAGCCCTTCACACACGAAGAAACTAATAGACGAATAGACTCCGGTGAACAATACAACCAGAGAGCAAAGATGGAGACAGCTCGAATGTACCACGGCCTTGGGCAAAAAGCTTTCGACCACAATGACAATACTGAAGTTACCGTGACGCAGACAGGTAATACCAGTCACGGGTTTTCCTTTCAATACAGGTCAGGTGTCCCACGTCCTTGACCCGGGCCAGTTAACAGCTAATGTTGTTGCACCCGACAATCTCCGGGTGTAGCTAATAGGCATGTCGTAACAGTTGACTAAATCCCCACACACTGCCAAGGATCAAGACATTCCAACTGATCAACAGACCGCGGGAATTACTAACAAACATATTGTAAAAGTCGACTAACTTCAAAGTTGGAGTGCAGCTACCTGAAGAAAGCTGACCGTCCAGAAGGCAATGGCAAACTACTGGACGTAAATTTGCCTAGAAAAACCACGTAACAGCCAGGGGCTGTTGGGGCTGGTTCTGCAAACTCCTGTAAAGGATACGCAACTAACCTTAGATATAATTAAAAAGGAGTAGGAAGAGGAAGAAGAATAATAGTAAGAAGAGGAGGAGGAGGAGCAAGAATAAAAATAGGAAGAAGAAGACGACGACAAAGAAGAAGAAGGAAAAGAAGAAGAAGAAGACGAAGAAGAAGAAGACGAAGAAGAAGAAGAGTGTTGGCTGTGTGTGTGTGTGTGTGTGTGTGTGTGTGTGTGGGGGGGGGTGATGAAAGGTAAGAGGGAAATGGAAGAAGAAGTGTAGTAGGAGGAGGAACAAAAGGAAGAAGAAGAGGAAGAGTAGTTTGGGCTGTGTGGTGTGTGTGTGTGTGTGTGTGTATGTGTGTGTGTGTGTGGGGGGGGGTGATGGAAGGTAAGAGGGAAATGGAAGAAGAAGTGTAGGAGGAGGAGGGACAAGAAGAAGAAAAAGAAGAAGAAGAGGTAGAGTAGTTTGGGCTGTGTGTGTGTGGTGTGGTGTGTGGTGTGGTGTGTGTGTGTGGTGTGTGTGTGGTGTGTGTGTGGTGTGTGTGTGGTGTGTGTGTGGTGTGGTGTGTGTGTGGTGTGTGTGTGTGGTGTGTGTGTGTGTGTGTGGTGGTGTGTGTGTGGTGTGTGTGGTGTGTGTGTGTGTGTGGTGTGGTGTGTGTGTGGTGTGTGTGTGGTGTGTGTGTGGTGTGTGTGTGTGGTGTGTGTGTGGTGTGTGTGGTGTGTGTGGTGTGTGTGTGGTGTGTGTGTGGTGTGTGTGGTGTGTGTGTGGTGTGTGTGTGTGTGTGGTGTGTGTGGTGTGTGTGGTGTGTGTGGTGTGGTGTGGTGTGATAGCAAGTAAGAGGGAAATGGAAGAAAAAGAATCACATGAAGACAGAAAGAAAGTGAGGGAGGAAGGAAAGAGGAAGTAGGAAGACTGACAAAAAAATGAGAAGATGAAAAAGAAAGGGGCAGAAAAAACACACCAAGAAAAGAAAGAATGAAGCGAATAAACGAAGGAAACAAATGAATAAACGAAGGAAACAAATTAATAGCATAATGCAAACAGGATAGACAGAAGAATGTCACTTCATACAACATTGGGGAACTCTAACCCGAGAGATTTTAACCAGTAGTTAGTGAATTAATTACACTTGGTTCTTATCAAACGCAATGTTTACATTATGCTAATTTGGTAAACCATTGCCTATCAATCAAATGCTGTAAATTCATTAAATTGTTGCAGCTCGTATTATCGGTTTTGGCAATTTAATTTTTTTTATTACAGAAAATGAAACATGGTAAAGTTTCGCTTGTGGACTGTGAACTATACAAGTAGTAAATCAGTGGCGATTGAGTGACCTAAAAACCGCACGCATGTGACAATGAATAGGCTGTACACACAAGCTGGGCACAACTGCCAAGGACACCACAGTCGTATATAAAACAGCTGATGGCCGGTATAAACAGGTCAACAGGGACTAAGTGCTTGAAGAGCTACCTCAAGCCGAGCTTCAATGGTGTAGTCAGTAGACTGTACCGCTGGTCTAGTATCGCAGTGTATTGGGGCCGAACGACTGTGTAGTTTCCTGGTTTGACGTCGAGCTGAAGTGTGTTAGCATTTAGTGTCTTGATCGCTGTGTCACGTTGGAAAAGGGGGCGTTGTTCCGTGTCGTTTCTGACTCCACGAGCCATCATGAGCCGGTAAGTTTTACAAACGACTAGCTAATTTCTGCGTTAAATTGACTGATTGTTCTCTTACGATCAATTATCTTTTCACCTGATATTGTGCTTTGCAATGTGTGATTTATTTGAGTGGATTGTATTTAGTCTCCGTTTTATTATTATTATTTATTTCTACTCATGTAAATAAGCGCAACTGTGTCTTATCTTCGTTAAAGTTTTGTCTCAGGCTCCTCCGGCAAATGCTCATTTCACTTCCTGCTGTCTCTGTACGCTTCACTCCTGTCACTTTACATTTCCCTACCTCCCTTCCCTTTCTCCCTTCTCTTTGCACATTACTCATGGCTTTGTACACTTTACTCCCTCCCGTCTCTTTGCACTTTACTCCCTCCCGTCTCTGTGTACTTCACTTACAGTTCTATACACTTCTTCGACTCCCTCTCCGTACAATTCACTTCTGTCACTGTACACCGCACTTCTGTCACTGTACACCGCACTTCGGTCACAGTAAACTTAATTCACTTCAGTTTTATAAGCTTGCAGCAATGCAATATTTTAACTCATCAACTTAGAGTTAATCATGTGCAGTTGTTCTTCTTTTTGTTTCCTTCGCTTGAAATAAATATCTATATCTGCAGTTCTGTCTTGAGTATGAACTTCATTTGAGGCTGACTCCCAGTGTTTGCAGATATAGATAGATATATTTCCTGCAGCGTTTGTGCCTGGCATCCTAATTTTTGGTGGTGCGCCTTTTGGCTGGCTGCCTCCGACTTACAGCACCTTATTGTAGTTATTTTGGTACGCTAGATCAACGTACTGGCATATGGGACTATTCACATGACATATCTTGATGTCATAATCTCATCAAAACTAAAAATTTACATTGATGGCAGAGTGTAGGAATTTTGTGAAAAATTCGAGACGTGAAAATCCACTCTTTTTCTTAGCTGTCAATGGCTGTAAACTCCTGCGGTAAGATCTGGCTATGTGGTAAGATCTGGCTATGTGGTAAGATCTGGCTATGTGGTAAGATCTGGCTATGTGGTAAGATCTGGCTATGTGGTAAGATCTGGCTATGTGGTAAGATCTGGCTATGTGGTAAGATCTGGCTATGTGGTAAGATCTGGCTATGTGTCCAACTCAAGACTCTCGTCTTGTTCCAGAACTTTAGTTTTGCTCGCAAATCCGTTTTACAGTTCTGGCTTATTTGTATGCAGACTGTTGGCTCCTTGCCTGTCAGGCAGATGCACACTGACTTCAGAAGAAACACCTAACTAGTCTACTCTTACGACATGCTTGTCTACTTTTCCCTCTCCACACACACACAATGGGACCCGGAACCCTCACCGGGATGTAGTAAATACAGAATCAACACCTGTTCCTTCACCACAAACACACAGCTGATCTGCCTCCCTCTTCATCTGGCTTTAGTGACACCTGATTGTGACAGTCACCTACTGACTAAACACAACAGCATTTGTCCGTTAAATACCCCTCTTGGCTGGAACTAAATGGACAATCGAAACGCATTCATCTTTAAATCTTTTTTTCTTTTTCTATAGGTGGTTCTGTTTTTGGCTAGTAATTACTGTAGCTGTCCATTTATCGTGTTAACAATTCCACACGTATCTGCTGTGAGTGGTCAGTGTAATGGTACCATTGATATAGAGCTAACCTGACCTGTGACGTTTGTACAGAAGACCCCGTCTACAGGTCTAGAAAACCGTCTACACAGTGATACGACCTCAAAGACCACATATTACTTGGTCAGGCATTGATACGACCTCAAAGATCAAAGACCACATATTAGTTGAGTAGGCATAACGATCCCCCCCCCCCCTTTTTTTTAACAAATGGCTCTTGATTTTCTTGGAAAATATGACAGCTCTAAAAAACAAAACAGTACTGGAAACAAAAGTGAATGAAACTGGGACTGACATCCCTGCACTAGGGACATTCACATACTTGTTCAGTCTCCTTCCTCGGTCGGTAGCTAGGGAGGAGTTCCCAAACTGGTGGTGCCAGTTGCAACATCATTAAAAGGTTCGCCTGCCCCCCCCCCCCCCCCCCCGGGTATACAATCGTCCGGACCCTCAGCTCACTGCCGGCTAAATGTATGCTCTGTTTGTACCCCCACCCCACCCCACAACACACCCCCCCCCCCCACCACCCACCCCATGCATTGTTCACTTGAGAAAAGACAAGTGTGAGGACTGTATGACCACAGTCAGTTCTAAAATATCCTCCGGTTGACACATCTATGTTTATCAATGAAAACACACATAGAGAGAAAACCGACAGTTAGAGACAGAAAACATTACTGCCTATCTTATCTGTCTAGTCGCCTTCGTGGTTATGTACCCAAATATAGATCTCTGACCACAAACAGCTTCGATTAAACTTTCTGTAATCCATACAGGACGCTTTAGGCGGCTTTTCCAATGACAATCTTCTTTTTGAGTGCGCACCTGTTGCAAAGATTGCTTCAGGACAATTTCACAACGTAATGTGTTACTGCCGCATGATGTGCTAATTTAGAGGAGCATCTTATCCCGTCACAGCTGTGGTTTGGGTAGCCGAGGTCCAAGGTTGTCATTATTTCATACAGCGTGGCGCCTAGAGCTGGGGAACATTGTAAAATCTTCAACTTGTGTGCACCCCCCTCCCCCGTGGCAACGCCACATTTTCAGCTTTTCAAGCTTTTCAAGCTGAAAACCAAACCTCTATTGAATTTAAATATCTTCGAACAAAATTCACTAAAGATAGTAAATTAGACGAAGAAATTGACATTCGATACAGTAAATGTATAGTCAGGCCAAATATTAGGACAGTTAGCTCCCCTCTTACAGCATAAGGCAATCGCAGCCAGCACAAGGAAACATCTCATACAAAACAAATTCGTTCACATCCTAAGCTATCAGTGCCAGACGTGGTCACTCTCAAGAAAACATACAAGAAAATTAGTAACCATGGAAATGAGGTGTCTGAGAAAGGCTCTAGGAGTGACCAGAAGAGATAAAATCTGGAAGAAGGGCATACGAGATGAAGTCGGCACAGAACCAATTCCAGATTACATACAAAGACAGCAAATCAAAGGGTTTGCCCACTTGGAGAGAATGCCTTCTGATGCTATACAATTCAAGGCATATACCAAAAGAGGAGAGGGATGCAGAGGACAAGGTAGACCAACAACAAAATGGGAGAAACTTTAGAGAAACTTTACAACATCACGATGTGCCTATGGTTAAAGTAGCCAGAAGAGCACGAAGCAGGACCTTGTATCTCCCTCGACACCCCAAGCGGCAAAAGAGGCCGTAAAGAAAAAGAAGAAGACTGCTAAGGCAGCACATGTCAGCGATTACGTCACATTTGAAGAGACTGTTGCCCTTTGTGAAATGGATGTCGACCACTAAGGCAGCATTAAGTAGGGAATTGCATGTGATAAATAAGATATGAATCCCACAGGACTGAAATGTTGGTATGGTGTCCTTGTTATAGTGGAGAAAGATCGGGTTCGAGTCTATATGTAATTTATTTATTTATTTAATATGTGAGAAACATAGGGATGCTACACCTCTGGCTAATTGCCCCTTCCACAGCCAACACACACACACACACACACACACACACACACACACACACACACACACACACACACACACACACCCTCCTTTCTCAAGCGCCTCGAGCACATTCTGGGCCCTCATAGACATGGTTCCAGGCAAGATTCTACCAAGTGAAAGGCCGTTTATAATATTTATGGATGCTGGAATACACGCATGTTGTATTTTTAGATCCCCGTCGGCACTACAGAGTTCGTGCACCATGCTGAAATTTTATTTGATCTTTTACAACAGACAAAAACCAAAGCAGACAAAGAAGGATTAATGTGTTGGTGGACATTTAATGTGTTGGTGGACATTTAATGTGTTGGTGGACATTTAATGTGTTGGTGGACATTTAATGTGTTGGTGGACATTTAATGTGTTGGTGGACATTTAATGTGTGGGGAGTGAAGACATTTAAGAGAGTGGCGGTAACAGAAAGGCAAAAACTGCGCACACAAAAGAGTTCAATATAAGTAGATTATGATGGAGATCGAGATGATGGCGAAGTAATAACACACAGGCAGATCTGCAAGCATTTGTGATCGTCAGCTGGAAATAGAAGGACAATCACAATGGAGGTCGGTGATATCTATAACCTTGATCCTCGGGGCTAGGAGTGGTGAAGAGGAAGAATAAGAAAATAGATTGAGGCAAACATGCAACTGCTTACGGTTACAGATCTATTTTTATCCTGATGTATTTGTGGTTTACTCAACTTGCTCAAATGGAGAGAGGGAAGAAGTTGGGGGGGGGGGTGGCGGGGCAGGGAGGGAGGGAGGGTACATTTGAGAGCAAGAGACAACCAGATGAGGGTCCGTGTCAGCGTGTCAGTGCGTTCAGGTGATGATCCCGAGTGATAGGCTCCCACTCTTGTCGTGCACTGTGGCTAAATAAAGGTTAAAGGTGGCATTTTCATTTATAATTGTGAGAACCATCGGTAGAAGAGATCATCGTCATTATCATGTGTCGTGCCGAGGATCGTGGGCTGTTATGATTCAGCAGATACGGTCATCAGCCTGTGACTAGCTCTGTGATTGCTGCCGGTTATGTCTGGTGTGTCAGACCATTCACCAGGATGCAATAAGTCACACACTAAGAGAGAGAGAGAGAGAGAGAGAGAGAGAGAGAGAGAGAGAGAGAGAGAGAGAGAGAGAGAGAGAGAGAGACCGACGGACACACAGACAGACGATGGAGATAGATGGAGACAGACATATAGATAGATAGATAAATATATAGATATATAGATAGACAAATAAATTTATTTTGTAATATCCATAAACTATGATTTGTTATCCTTTTGGCTCAGTGCTATGGATATAGCGACCCTTCGGCCTTGATTCCATGATAGGTACCGTTAATCTGGGAGAAATGTGGCTTTTCTGCCTACCCTTCAATAGTGAACCCAGACCACAAGGAGTTCGTCACCCGGTCACGGCGAAGTCAGGTTTAACCAACTACGCTAGAGAGCCGGGCAGATAATAGATAGATAGATAGATAGATAGATAGATAGATAGATAGATAGATAGATAGATAGATAGATAGATAGATAGATAGATAGATAGATAGATAGATAGATAGATAGATAGATAGATAGATAGATAGATAGATAGATGGATAGATAGATAGATAGATAGATAGACAGACAGACAGACAGACAGACAGACAGACAGACAGACAGACAGACAGACAGACAGACAGACAGACAGACAGACAGACAGACAGACAGACAGACAGACAGACAGACAGACAGACAGACAGACAGACAGACAGACAGACAGACAGACAGACAGACAGACAGACAGACAGACAGACAGACAGACAGACAGACAGACAGACAGACAGACAGACAGACAGACAGACAGACAGACAGACAGACAGACAGACAGACAGACAGACAGACAGACAGACAGACAGACAGACAGACAGACAGACAGACAGACAGACAGACAGACAGACAGACAGACAGACAGACAGACAGACAGACAGACAGACAGACAGACAGACAGACAGACAGACAGACAGACAGACAGACAGACAGACAGACAGACAGACAGACAGACAGACAGACAGACAGACAGACAGACAGACAGACAGACAGACAGACAGACAGACAGACAGACAGACAGACAGATAGATAGATAGATAGATAGATAGATAGATAGATAGATAGATAGATAGATAGATAGATAGATAGATAGATAGATAGATAGATAGATAGATAGATAGATAGATAGATAGATAGATAGATAGATAGATATAGAAAGAAGAGAGAGAGAGAGAGAGAGAGAGAGAGAGAGAGAGAGAGAGAGAGAGAGAGAGAGAGAGAGAGAGAGAGAGAAACGACCAACAATATGACAGCTCTAAAAGTCAAAGATGGAGCTTGTGTTTTGAGTAATATCCAACACCGAGATATATTGCCGCTGCTTGATTAAACAGAAATTGTTGGCGGGCCAACAGTACATTTCCGCAGACCTGTGGTTGAAAACAATTAGTTACCGTACCAAATAATGTCATGCATATAGGACAACACAACCAGCAGAAATAACGACAGTATCAACAGTTATCAGAGGAAGCTGGCATACATCTCGAGGAGAAGCCAACAGAGCATCAATAAACAGGCAGTGAACTGAGAAACAAATAAAAGCAGAAAATAATGACGTCAAAGAGAAACCCCGAAACGGCCGTAGATGATAGTGACCAAAGGGGCGGTGCTGGACTCCATTCATGATATCAAAAATAAATAAATAAATAAGGTAGAAAGTAATGAAGGAATAGATTCTATGTGACGTACAAACACCACACCAAGATGATGATGACGGTGATAGAAGAGATAGGTAATAATTAGAAAATAGAGAACATACAAGACAACAGGAGCACATAGCAAGCGAAATCATAAAGTTCTCAATCAACACGGTAGACAAGGCATGTCGGGACGGTGTTTTGTCGGCACAGACACCAGGAAGGAATATCCAGGGTGGAAAGTTTGACTGAGTAGGGAAATGTGGTAGGTAACCAAACAGGAAGGTGTTTTGGGGTTATAAAAGTGGGAAATATCGTTAGCTTCCTCGTGTGTCCACACAATTACACACATACTAGCGACACAAGGAAAGCATTGCGATGGTTGCGGGAAGGCTGGGTCTTCCTAATTTTCTAGATTTTGTTTCTTTTCCTCTTTCCGCTCTCTCCCTGCATGCACTCTCCCCTTTCTTCTGTTTCTGTATGCCTTTCTGTCACTCTTCCTTTTTCTTTGCTAACTTCCCCTTCCCTTGTTAGCTGTCTTTCATTCTCCGCTTTTCTCTTTCAGTCTCTTTCTGTTTCATTCTCTGTACTTTTCTTCCTCTTTCTCTACCTCTCTTTGTCTTTCTATCATCATATCTTTCTCTTTCTATCTCCCACGATCTCTCTCTATCTCCCACGATCTCTCTCTATCTCCCATGCTCTCTCTATCTCCCACGATCTCTCTCTATCTCCCACGATCTCTCTCTATCTCCCACGATCTCTCTCTATCTCCCATGATCTCTCTCTATCTCCCACGATCTCTCTATCTCCCACTATCTCTCTCTATCTCCCACGATCTCTCTCTATCTCCCACGATCTCTCTCTATCTCCCACAATCTCTCTCTATCTCCCACGATCTCTCTCTATCTCCCACGATCTCTCTCTATCTCCCACTATCTCTCTCTATCTCCCACGATCTCTCTCTATCTCCTACTATCTCTCTCTATCTCCCACGATCTCTCTCTATCTCCCACTATCTCTCTCTATCTCCCACGATCTCTCTCTATCTCCCACTATCTCTCTCTATCTCCCACGATCTCTCTCTATCTCCCACTATCTCTCTCTATCTCCCACTATTTCTCTCTATCTCCCACGATCTCTCTCTATCTCCCACGATCTCTCTCTTTCTCCCACGATCTCTCTCTATCTCCCACGATCTCTCTCTATCTCCCACGATCTCTCTCTATCTCCCATGATCTCTCTCATATCTCCCACGATCTCTCTCTATCTTCCACGATCTCTCTATCTCCCACGATCTCTCTCTATCACCCACGATCTCTCTCTATCTCCCACGATTTCTCTCTATCTCCCACGATCTCTCTCTATCTCCCACAATCTCTCTCTATCTCCCACGATCTCTCTCTATCTCCCACGATCTCTCTCTATCTCCCACGATCTTTCTCTATCTCCCACGATCTCTATCTCCCACGATCTCTCTCTATCTCTTACGATCTCTCTCTATCTCCCACGATCTCTCCCTATCTCCCACTATCTCTCTCTATCTCCCACTATCTCTCTCTATCTCCCACGATCTCTCTTTATCTCCCACGATCTCTCTCTATCTCCCACGATCTCTCTCTATCTCCCACGATCTCTCTCTATCTCCCACGGTCTCTCTCTATCTCCCACGATCTCTCTCTATCTCCCACGATCTCTCTCTATCTCCCACGCTCTCTCTATCTCCCACAATCTCTCTCTATCTCCCACGATCTCTCTATCTCCCACAATCTCTCTCTATCTCCCACGATCTCTCTCTATCTCCCACGATCTCTCTCTATCTCCCACGATCTCTCTCTATCTCCCACGATCTCTCTCTATCTCCCACGATCTCTCTCTATCTCCCACGATCTCTCTCTATCTCCCACGATCTCTCTCTATCTCCCACGACCTCTCTCTATCTCCCACGACCTCTCTCTATCTCCCACGATCTCTCTCTATCTCCCACGATCTCTCTCTATCTCCCACTATCTCTCTGCACCTTCCCTTTGAGCATGCACATTTGTTGTTTTCGTCAATTCGTCTTTCTTTCTTTCGCTCTTCTTCCTCTCTCCCTTATCTCTCCTTTTCACCAACCCCTCCCTGTCACAAAATATGTGCAGAATGTTATATTTAGGTATTACGTGCATGTATTGATCTTCAACATTACCAGTTGAAAGACATGAGAAGGTGCAAAACGAAGCAATGCGCATTATTTTGGGGTACACTGGAGACACCTCTTGTGTAGCAGTGAGGTACCTTCTTGACTTCCCTACCATGAACTACAGGATCAAGATCTGGAGGGCTCGTGTATACCTCAAGATAAGCTTAGATCTAAAACACCCTTGGCACTACACACTCTTCAAGAAAAAGGGCAATAGACTTCCTAGAGGATGACATCGTGCAGGTCTGCAGACTTACAGATATCCATCCAGGTCAGGAATGGATACCAGCATCTAAAGCGCACAGTCCCACATTCCCCTGTGTCATGAAGCTTGATAGGAGGTGTCGGGAGCAATATCCCACTGCTGTCAACGCTGAGGTCTGCACGCTTATCAGTGACAAGTCAGATGAGACAGATGTGCTGATCTTCATAGACGGGTCCCATATACGAGAACATAAGAATGCATGGGAATTTACAGCTCGCTCTTCAGGCAGAACAGTTCAAGAAGCCAACAGTGCCTTCTCCATGACTACCAGCAGCATGACGATGGAGATGATGGCGGTGACACAAGATTTCATGTGGCTAGAATCACAGAACTATACCCGCATGTGAGTGAGTGTGCGCGCGCGCGCGTGTGTGTGTGTGTGTGTGTGTGTGTGTGCGCGCGCGTGTGTGCTGAGTGATTCGTTGAGCATGATCCGGCGGGTCAAGGTAGGCTGGTTACGCAGACAGAGGTTTGAATAATTGCAAAACTCTCCTGTGTGTGCAGTTCATATTTGTCCCAGGTCATGCAGGCGTTGTTGGTAATGAAAGAGCTGATAGACTGACAGGTGCCACCCTAATTTTAGATGGTCGGCCCATGGATCACATGGACATTGTCAATGCTCTTAGAGAGATAGGATATTCTGAAGATTTTGGAAGCAACATGTCCACATCATTGCTAAGAATATGAGAACTGGGAGTAAAGATTGGCACAGCCAAGCATGAGAAGCACACCGGACGCACACAAAGTCTTGTCAACCAGCACAGGACTGGCATTATCAACCATGCGAGGCTGATGAACATGTTGAGAGGGCAATTTGAGCACCTATGGATTTGTCTGGAGTGCTGTGAAGATAATCCAAGTCATAATAACTCATTAGCAGTTAAGGAACTATTAACAATTATGCATTGTGGGATAAGCCGGTCACTGTGAACCTGAGGCAAACACATTAACCCTTTATCACACCCCCTCCCCCTGCCCCGCCCCCACCCACCCCCACCCCCGCATCTGCTTGTACACAAGCGAATAAGTCATTATATAACATTTAACACACATCAGTGCAATACCAGAAATTTAACACGTTTCATCTGTGTAATATGTAACGTGCTCCATCATGTATGTAAAAGCTGACATATTGCTGCACTTTTTAACACTTCAGCCTGTGTCACATGTGAGGAGACTAACTCGTGTTTTCATAACACAATCAATAATTGTATATTATAACAGGCCAGATAACAGACACAACCAGATGCTTAAAAATGCAGATCACTTGCACACATTGGCTGTGATGGAGACAGTTTTGGACGAAGAACTCGACAGGCTGGGTAAGTCTAAGTAACGGGATAGAGAGAATGTGTGATCGTTACAGTTTTGGAAAAGAAATTACACAAACTGTGCTAGTCAAAGTAACAGAATAGAGAATTAGACATACTTGGTAAGTCTAAATAATGGGAAATAGAATTAGACAGACTACAAGTGTAAGTAATGAAATAGATGATTAGACATTCTTGGTAAGTAACAGAAGAGAGAACTAGACAGGCTTGGTAAGTCTAAGTAATGGGATAGAGAACTAGAGAAAGTCAAAGGAACAGTATAGACAGAATGTGTGATGCAAATAGATTTAGAATAAAACTAGACAGGCTTAGTAAATCTAAGTAATAAAATAAAGAACTAGAAAGACTTAGTAATTCTAAGTATTGGACTATAGAACTAGTTAGGACAGAGTAAGTAAAAGAAACAGGATTTAGAGACTTCCATAGAGACATAGAGAAACTAGACAGGCTGGGTGAGGCTAAGTAAGTAACAAGAAGGAGCAGTGCTGCTTGGAGGTAGGTATGATGTGGCTACTAAGGATACCTTGGATGGCCAGAGTAATTGAAACAAGAACATGAACAAATGAAATGAAATAATAACATTCTAGATGGAGGTAAAGGCATTGGTGAGAGATCATCTAGGTGAATGGAAACATCAGTTAGAAAGTGCTGACTGAGGAACATGACGCTAGAATGTCAAAGATGGCGTTAGGAATTGAAGGTCGTCACTGGATACTTTGTGCAGTACTTTGGCACTGTAGAAGAGACTTGTAGTTCATCCTTTCACTGTTCTTTGTTTTTTTGGTGTGTTTTATCGATGAGTTGCTGAGCTGAGATGCTGCCTGCACTGAAGCACATAGGGAGATTTCTATGCGCACTTAAACTGACAATGAAGTCAAATCAACGAAAGAAAGAAATTAGAGGTCTTAGATAGAGGTCTTAGAACACAACAACATAATACTGTAAAACAGGAGTGCCTCACACTTAAGTTGGGGGTGGGGGGGGGGTGTTGGGGGGGGCACACAATAAAGGCTTTAGCAGACACACACACACACACAAGGGGGTGGTTCCTTCAGAGTCAGAGTGCTTCTGCCTGAGAGGCTAGGAACAAATAGTCTGCATAAAAATAAGCCAGATCTGTAAAACAGATATGCATGCATTAAACAAGACCAAATACCCCTAAATAGTCACCTTTTATGATATGCCTTTTGGACGGCGGGTGGCGGGATGTCTGTTATTTTCCTTAAGAATGTGGCCGCAGATCCCAAATGGAGGGGGAGTGGGTGGGATGTGTCAACTGAAAGGAACAACTATTGCGACTGTGCTGTAAATTGACATTACAACAGTTATGTCCTTGGATGAATGAAAAAGAGGAAGTTGAACACACATATTCAGTGACTGTGGGCAGTTTGAGAATTCATGCAGCCACTGACGCACTCTGTACCTGACTAATGAGAAAGCACATTACATAGAAGTCATCATTTAATCAAGTATATCCTGTTTAACACATCTGGGTTATGAATGGAAAATACAGAGCTGTTTCTATTTCAGAAATGAACATTTATGCCTATCAATTATGTTTGGTTATTCAGTATCGCCTAGCTTGTGTATTAATCGTATAACACCGATTGTCAAGTTCAAAATATTTGAAGTGTATTTTTAAACAGTTTTGTACAACATATGTCCGCAGAAAATGAGTATGACTGGTGCTGCAGAAAATATGTCTACCTTCAGGCTCTGGACAGTGACTCTGCCTACCTGCGCCATGTGGCCATGCACATACAGAAGTCGAGGGGCCTCATAGACATGTTGAGGCCACTACTAGAGGACACGTTTGAGGAGAAACTGGTGAGTGGTCAAATCTTCTTGAGGCACACCATGATCATCAGCTGTCAGTTCAGACAATTTTCTCCACAGAGAATTCCTCCTCCTTCTTCTTTTCTTTCTCTTACTTCTCATTTTTCTTCATCTTTATTGGTGGTGGTTATAGTCAGAGCATCTCCACACCCTTCCCCACTTTCTCCTAGTGCTAATCCCTCTGCTTCTGCACTCACTTCTGTTTCTTGTTTCTTTCTTTCTCATCCATTTTCCTCTACAACTCTTTATTTAAGTTACTTGTGCTCATTTATCTAAACAAAAATACAATGTCTACTGTCACTGCGACAAGTCTGTCACTCACCTTTCTTTTCTGTAGACAGGTATGAGCATTGGTTAGTTGGGATAGCTTTTATCTTATAAAGGTGTCCATTTTGAGTCAAAGAAATTTTGTCTTTTGTGATGACTCTAGTTGAGGACACAAACCTATTGGTAAATGCTGTCGGTTCTGTGAATTTTTGTACATTCTCTTGGTAAGTCTGTTGCTTCTTTCAGGAGACCAGTGAAACTCTTTCTTTACAATTAATGCTTCTGACAGACTGTCAGCTGCCTCAGTCGTGAGAGCAACAACAAGTGCTAGGATCTATGGACCCAAAAAAAGGGGGGGGGGAAGGGGAGGCCCCTGTGCTGTAAGCAGAAAGCTGAGTGAAATGTTCCATGGATATTCTTGTTTAGAGATTCTCCACTTTATTATCTTTAGTCTGGCACATAGATAGATCTTCTGAAATGCAGTCAATCATTCATCATCATCATCATGTAGCAGGTCCTTTGCAGCATGTCACTTTCACCAGAGTCAGCCTAAAAGAAACTTGGTCTATCACCAGCTCTCCCACCTCACCCAAAGAATGAATGGATGAATCAAGAAATTATATCACTGAGATATTTCAGTGAATTATCTCTCTTTACGTACTGCCGTCTTATCAGTTATTTTAAAAACACTGCAATACTGCCATTTTATCAGTTATTTTAAAAACAATACATTACTGCTGTCTTATCTGGATTGATGATCCAGCCTGTTTGCTCACAACACTCACCAACCTTACCTACAGCGAACTGCACTTCTCTAAATATTTATGTTATATTTTTTCTCTGTGGGTAGACTATGACATTGTCAGCAAAAGTCAAGATTCTCCCAATACCCACTTCTTCTGTCCTGCTGTGTATACACTGAAAAACCTGGGGAAGTAGCGGAACCCTGTGGGAGGCCAGGTGGGATACGTGGTTCTGAGCTCCATGAGCCTGGGTGAAAGGCAGTCTGCCCCCTCATACAGGACTGGTGCAATCCAATTGACTGACCTCTATATCCATAAGTGTGTACAGTAAAACTTCATATCTAACCCTGCTATATACATCTTCTAAATCAAGTGCCGCCACCACTGTTTCATGTTTATGTTGAAACCCCTCATATACATTGTCAGCCAGAATCATGGCACTTTTCCAGATTTCCTTTCTTGGTCGTTAACTTCCTAACCCTCTCGATAAGAGTCTACATTTTTTCAAGGTAATCCTGTAATTGTCTTCTTTGCCTATTTTATTCTGAGAATCCCTCTATAGCATTTCAGTTCTAAAAGCCCTATTGCCTACTCAGTGTGTCACTTAAATCCTGTCTTTATGCTTGTCGGTCCCTGCTCTCCTTGCTGCTACCATGCCTTCTGCTTATTTGTTCGTGTCCTCAGTCGATTGTGGCAATTTATATGGCCAAAAAATATTTTAGTTTCCCAGACAAGATGCTGTTCACTAGTTGGTCTGCCTTGATGTTGAGATATTTTAGGATGTCGATATTTGTCTTCTCTGCCCATGGTCTTCTGAGACTTCTCTAGAGCATTCAGCTCCAATGCTCCTTGTTTCTTCCATGGGGACTGCTAGATAGTCCATGACTCACATCTAAATGTTTCTTCCATGGGGACTGCTAGATAGTCCATGACTCACATCTAAATGTTTCTTCCATGGGGACTGCTAGATAGTCCATGACTCACATCTAAATGTTTCTTCCATGGGGACTGCTAGATAGTCCATGACTCACATCTAAATGTTTCTTCCATGGGGACTGCTAGATAGTCCATGACTCACATCTAAATGTTTCTTCCATGGGGACTGCTAGATAGTCCATGACTCACATCTAAATGTTTCTTCCATGGGGACTGCTAGATAGTCCATGACTCACAAATCTAAATGTTTCTTCCATGGGGACTGCTAGATAGTCCATGACTCACATCTAAATGTTTTCTTCCATGGGGACTGCTAGATAGTCCATGACTCACATCTAAATGTTTCTTCCATGGGGACTGCTAGATAGTCCATGACTCACATCTAAATGTTTCTTCCATGGGGACTGCTAGATAGTCCATGACTCACATCTAAATGTTTCTTCCATGTGGACTGCTAGATAGTCCATGACTCACATCTAAATGTTTCTACAGAGAATATGCATGCTCGCAAAATTTGGACTTCGATTTCCTCACTGGTACTTAACCGTAGACTTTTAATGCAAGTTTGTCTGTCGTTGGTCATAATTTCCAATCTTCCACACCTCTTAATTTCTGTTTTTCCCAAGTATTTAGCAACCTTTGGAAATTTTCTCCAGGTCATGCTAGTGTGTTGGGAAATGAGCAGTAAGATAGATTGCCTTGTTCTGTATCACTTGGTGGTGAATTGATGTAAAGCAAGCTAGATGTGAGGGCCCTTTGGGAGCCAGTGAACAGTGCAGAAGCACAAATAGATCATAACAGTCTGAGGAAAATGGCACTGCGAGGAGTTGCCAGGGGGATCTGGATGATGCTCAACATTCACGGAAAGGCACGACAGATATACAATCAGACAGTTACTGGTACGATCAGTATTGGAACTCTTCGCGTGCTGCTGAAGATGGACAGAGCACTTATGGAAGTGTCCCAACTGCAGTGATGTCAATTCCTTATTGAACAATTAACATCAAACAACTCAGGACATCCCACATCTACTCTATCCTTATCTTCAGCAGATAGTGAAGAGCTCCCGTTCTGTTGACACCAGTAACAGTTTCTCTGCATGTCTGTCTTGCTCATAATCTAAGTGTTGAGTGTTAGCTGGATCCTATGGTCAATCCCCACTGCACCCTTCTCTCCATCCCGTAATGGTCAATTCACGCTTCTGCATTGTTCTGTAACTCCCAAAGGCCTTTGACCACACCTAGCTTGTCATGCATCAGTTGACCACACCTAGCTTGTCATGCATCAGTTGATCACTCCTAGCTTGTCATGCATCAGTTGACCACACCTAGCTTGTCATGCATCAGTTGATCACACCTAGCTTGTCATGCATCAGTTGACCACACCTAGCTTGTCATGCATCAGTTGACCACACCTAGCTTGTCATGCATCAGTTGACCACACCTAGCTTGTCATGCATCAGTTGACCACACCTAGCTTGTCATGCATCAGTTGATCACTCCTAGCTTGTCATGCATCAGTTGACCACACCTAGCTTGTCATGCATCAGTTGACCACACCTAGCTTGTCATGCATCAGTGTTGATCACTCCTAGCTTTGTCATGCATCAGTTGACCACACCTAGCTTTGTCATGCATCAGTTGATCACTCCTAGCTTGTCATGCATCAGTTGATCACTCCTAGCTTGTCATGCATCAGTTGATCACACCTAGCTTGTCATGCATCAGTTGACCACACCTAGCTTGTCATCCATCAGTTGACCACACCTAGCTTGTCATGCATCAGTTGACCACACCTAGCTTGTCATGCATCAGTTGATCACACCTAGCTTGTCATGCATCAGTTGATCACACCTAGCTTGTCATGCATCAGTTGACCACACCTAGCTTGTCATGCATCAGTTGATCACACCTAGCTTGTCATGCATCAGTTGACCACACCTAGCTTGTCATGCATCAGTTGATCACTCCTAGCTTGTCATGCATCAGTTGATCACTCCTAGCTTGTCATGCATCAGTTGATCACACCTAGCTTGTCATGCATCAGTTGACCACACCTAGCTTGTCATCCATCAGTTGACCACACCTAGCTTGTCATGCATCAGTTGACCACACCTAGCTTGTCATGCATCAGTTGACCACACCTAGCTTGTCATCCATCAGTTGACCACACCTAGCTTGTCATGCATCAGTTGACCACACCTAGCTTGTCATGCATCAGTTGATCACACCTAGCTTGTCATGCATCAGTTGATCACACCTAGCTTGTCATGCATCAGTTGACCACTCCTAGCTTGTCATGCATCAGTTGACCACTCCTAGCTTGTCATGCATCAGTTGACCACCTAGTGATGCAGCCCCAGCCAAACCATCGGCTTGTTCATTTCTCAACACATCAGAATAATCTACGGGATGCTAATCACCAGGTATCTCAGACACGATTTTTGCCACACCTTCGAGTGGGAAGTGAAAAAGACCAGATGAGTGTGTGTTGAAAAAAGAAAAGCTTATCTGGTTAGATTTAGCACTGAGACATGAAACCTGGATGTCAGCCATTTTAGTAACATTTTTGTTTGTTTCTTCACTGTGAATGCAGATCCTGATGAGTGAGGTCAGGAGTCAACAGTTGCAATGGAGAAAGGAGGACAGTCACCAACACTACCACAGCTTGGTCCAACAGCATCATCATCATCCTCAACATACTCCACCTAAGATGAGGAAATTTCACTCAGGCAGTTCCAGTTGTTCTTTTGTGAAAAGAAATAAAAACTTCATCATATCGACTAAAAAGGTCAAAAGTAAAAAGTCACACCCTTATTTGACTTCTCTGACCAGCAAATCACAGATGTCCATGAACTTTAGAAAAAAGTATAAGGGAAGTGTAAAGATTTGCAACAGATCAAAGTCAAAAGTAAAGAAAACAAGAAATTTGCTTTCAAAGAAACTTCAAAGTCATGAAAAAGTTAATGTCTCGCAGCATTCAATACCTTCACAAATCAGCAAAGATGCAAGACAAGAACAAAATAATGTGCTTTCAAATGTCACCAATGAAATGACTCATTACAGTCACATGATCAGCCATTCGATGCTCCACCAAACAGCAATTAATCAACCAATAGGGATGGAAGATTTCAGGCATAGTATAAGAAGACATATATATAGATGTGAAAGGTCAAGAAATTCTGACTTTTGTTTTTTTGGCAATGATCCAGAAGATGAAACTTTGCATATTGGGAGAGTTGACTAGCCTGCTGTTTACACTGAGATTTGACTGTAGGCAGCCATGAGTTGTGTGAAATAGTTGACTAGAATGCTGTTTACACTGAGATTTGACTGTAGGCAGCCGTGAGTTGTGTGAAATAGTTGACTAAAATGGTGTTTACTTTGTGGAGGCAGCCGTGAGTTGTGTGAAAGAGTTAACTGCCATAATGTTTACATTGACATGTGTAGGTGGCTGTGAGTTGTGTGAAATAGTGGACTGAAATGGTGTTTACATTGACATGTGTAGGTGGCTATGAGTTGTGGGAGATAGCAGATTTATCTAAGGAAACAGAGGAAACAGAAAAGACACATTGTCATGTGTGTTCCATCCAGAGAAAGAGAGAAAGTGGCTGATATTAAGGGAAGACTTTCATAAGGAGAAATCAGATGATAAAGAGACACCATAACAGAGCTATTTAATGACAGGCCATCTACCAAATGTGGCCTGCTGAAGCTAAGCAGGTGTTCCGTTGAGGCTATGCAAGTGGCCCGCTGAGGCTAAGCAAGTGGCCCGCTGAGGCTAAGCAATTGGCCCGCTGAGGCTAAGCAAGTGGCCCGCTGAGGCTAAGCAAGTGGCCCGCTGAGGCTAAGCAGGTGTTCCGCTGAGGCTATGCAAGTGACCCACTGATCATTGCCAACTGTATTGTATTAATGATCTTTCTACTGTGGAGCTCAGTTTTCTGACCTGTGACGATCCCCATTCTCAACATTTTGGCTCGTGAGCAAACTTAGTTGAACGGGCCTGCACTAGAGTGTTGAGAAGTATACAAACTATAGTATTAAATAAACATTATAGTATTAGGTTACATAAACACTATAGTATTAGGTTACATAAACACTATAGTATTAGGTTACATAAACACTATTGTATTAGGTTACATAAACACTATAGTATTAGGTTACATAAACATTATAGTATTAGGTTACATAAACACTATAGTATTAGGTTACATAAACACTATAGTATTAGGTTACATAAACACTATAGTATTAGGTTACATAAACACTATTGTATTAGGTAACATAAACACTATAGTATTAGGTAACATAAACACTATAGTATTAGGTAACATAAACACTATAGTATTAGGTAACATAAACACTATAGTATTAGGTTACATAAACACTATAGTATTAGGTTACATAAACACTATAGTATTAGGTTACATAAACACTATTGTATTAGGTAACATAAACACTATAGTATTAGGTTACATAAACACTATAGTATTAGGTTACATAAACACTATAGTATTAGGTAACATAAACACTATAGTATTAGGTTACATAAACACTATAGTATTAGGTAACATAAACACTATAGTAATAATTAACATCTTGTATTAAGTAATATAAGTACTATAGGTTAGTTGTGTATCCTTTACAGGACGTTGCAGAACCAATCCTATCAGCCCCTGGCTGTTGTGTGGTTTTTCTAGGCAAATTTACATCCAGTAGTTTGGCATTACTTTCTGGACAGTCAGCTTTCTTGATACCACTGTCGAAACCAAGGAAGGTGCATGGCCAGCAGCTGGGATCGAACCCGGCATTACGAAGCATTTGCATCCACTTAGCCACAGAGCCGACAACAAGTGCTATAGTAATAAGTAATATATTTATTATGAAGTAATATATAGTGTTAAGTAATAAAAGCACTATAGTGTTAAGTAGTATAAACAACCTGTTTCCTCAAGGTACAGTGGGTAATGGGGCTGTACCCTTTTTTAAAAAGTCATTTAGAGCCACTAAAAGAGCGATGGGCTGACATTACACTTGCAGATTTTACTTTCTAGGACAATTTCTAGAGTCATTTTTGGGGTTCCAATTGTGAGTATTTAAGCTCAGGTCAGTTTAAAGAATCCTTGGGTGAGGATTTGAACCCAAGAATTCTGAGGTGCTAGAAACGCTGGCTAATTATAGTGTTACTGATATGAGGCTCGAAGAAGGGGGCAGAAAAGAGATAGTCCATAAATAAAGGAAAATCACCATCATCATGTAGCAGGTCCTTTGCAAAATGTCGCTCTCATCACAGTCTGCCTGAAAGAAACTCGGTCTCACGCCAGTTCTCCTGCCTCATGCACTTTCACGCTCAAGGAGTCACTTATATCCTGTGCCCATCTTTGTGTTGGTCGGCCCCTGCCCCTCCTTCCTGGTACCATGCCTTCTGCTATAATTATTTCCAATCTGTCGTGGCGCTTGATATGACCAAAATATTTCGGCTTCCGTGAAAGGATGCTGTTTATTAGCCAATCTTCCTTGATGTTCAGATCTTTTGAGATGTCAATATTTTTCATCTTCTATGTCCAAGATATTCTGACTATCGTTCTATAGTATTTCAGCTCAAAAGCCCCTATTCTCTTTCTTAAGGACTGAGAGATAGTCCACGACTCACATCCGAATGTAGCCACAGGGAAGATGCATGCTCTCAGAATTCCAATTTTGATCTCCTTGCTGGTGCATAACCATAGACTTTTAAGGCTGTTCAATCTTTGCATTGCTATGGCCATCCTCCTTTTAATTTAAAGGGAAATAATGGTTGAAAAAAACCTGACACAAATTGATTACAGAAGGGAGAGAATTAGATACAGATGGGAGATATCTAATAACACAGGGGAAAAAAGTGATAATAGATGAGAGGAGACTAGAGACCTGAATGAGAGAAGGAGCGACAGGATAAATGAGAATGTAAGAATTTTTTATATTTGATAAAATGTTTTCATATGGGTATCTCTGTTGTGCCAGACTCAAACAAGTGTTACTATTAGGGGTATAAGGACTCATTCAAGCTAGCATGGAACATGTCCCACAAGGACACTATTAAAACATAATTGGGGTCCTAATTAGTCACTTTGTAACCATACTGTGGTGTCGACTAATATAGCTGTACTATAAGGTTGAACAGGGTTTCCAGGATTTAAACCTGTTTGATTCTCATCTTTGAGATGTTAATCCTATACACTGGCATCCTACAGAGTTAAAAAAAAACTTGAAAAAAAAAATGGACAAGGTAACCTGAAATAACTGGGTTGTCCTGCCTGGCCTGGACTTTAGGTTACTTTAAAACGATCAGAGCTCCTGACAGTTGACCAGGGCTTACCTGGGTTTGTACAGGTCTTGAGGTCATGATCCTGCGGTCTGCAATCCTAGAGAGAACAGGAAGTCTGGGTATGGTTCCGTTGAATTACACATGAGGTTGAACAGGGTATCCAAGAATTCTCTTATTGAATTACTAAGGAGGTTGAACAGGGTTTCTGAGAATTGTCTCATTGAATTACTGTGACTCTGTGAGTCATAGGAGTGACATTCCTTTAGGTAGAACCCTAAAGGGGAAAAACAGTGAGTTTGTTTGTCAGTCAATCTGTCAGTGATTGAAGGTTGAAGTCAAGATAACTCTGTCCATAGGAAATCTGACCAACCACTGTATCACCTTGGGACACACAATCATGCAGTGTTAGCATCCCCTCCTGCCTAACTAGTGGTTATGTCCATACATTCAAAAGACATTTTTCAGTGACCAAAACTTTCAGGTCAGTGCAGTCTAAAATGCGTGCCAAAAAAAAAATTTATGGGAAGTAAAGGCAGCTGATGTGATACTGACCAAATCACCCATTAGGTACCTATGGGTAAACAATTCTAATGATAGCATTATATACTTGGTACCTCCTAAACCATTGAACTTTATCTGTAGGATCTTATCTCCCACTGTATGTATTGCTATCAGTCAGCACAGACCTCTGGCATGGTATGTAGGGCTATCAGTCAGCACAGACCTCTGGCATGGTATGTAGGACAATCAGTCAGCACAGACCTCTGGCATGGTATGAAGGGCTATCAGTCAGCACAGACCTCTGGCATGGTATGTAGGGCTATCAGTCAGCACAGACCTCGTGCATGCTATGGTTTTTCCCACTGTATATAGGACAATCAGTGAGCACAGACCTCTGGCATGCTATGTAGGGCTATCAGTCAGCACAGACCTCTGGCATGCTATGGTTTATCCCACTGTATGTAGGACAATCAGTCAGCACAGACCTCTGGCATGGTATGTAGGGCTATCAGTCAGCACAGACCTCTGCCATGGTATGTAGGGCAATCAGTCAGCACAGACCTCTGCCATGGTATGTAGGGCAATCAGTCAGCACAGACCTCTGACATGCTATGTAGGGCTATCAGTCAGCACAGACCTCTGGCATGGTATATAGGACAATCAGTCAGCACAGACCTCTGGCATGGTATGTAGGGCTATCAGTCAGCACAGACCTCGTGCATGCTATGGTTTATCCCACTGTATATAGGACAATCAGTCAGCACAGACCTCTGGCATGCTATGGTCTATGAGGCACATCTTCCTCTACTTCCTAAAGTTGACCGGCTGTAAACTCCAGCAGAAAGTCGTGGTTGCTTCCTCTACTTCCTAAAGTTGACCGGCTGTAAACTCCAGCAGAAAGTCGTGCTTGCTTCCCTACTTCCTAAAGTTGACCGGCTGTAAACTCCAGCAGAAAGTCGTGCTTGCTTCCCTACTTCCTAAAGTTGACCGGCTGTAAACTCCAGCAGAAAGTCGTGCTTGCTTCCCTACTTCCTAAAGTTGACCGGCTGTAAACTCCAGCAGAAAGTCGTGCTTGCTTCCCAACTTCCTAAAGTTGACCGGCTGTAAACTCCAGCAGAAAGTCGTGCTTGCTTCCCTACTTCCTAAAGTTGACCGGCTGTAAACTCCAGCAGAAAGTCGTGCTTGCTTCCCTACTTCCTAAAGTTGACCGTCTGTAAACTCCAGCAGAAAGTCGTGCTTGCTTCTCTTCTTCCTAAAGTTGACCGGCTGTAAACTCCAGCAGAAAGTCAAAGCTTGCTTCCCTACTTCCCAAAGTTGACCGGCTGTAAACTCCAGCAGAAAGTCGTGCTTGCTTCTCTTCTTCCTAAAGTTGACCGGCTGTAAACTCCAGCAGAAAGTCAAAGCTTGCTTCCCTACTTCCAAACTTTGGTCTTGTTCCAGAACTTGACTTTTGTGTGCACATCAGTGTTCCCGATCTGGCTTATTTGTGTGCAGACTGTTGGTTCCTCTCACCTATAAAGCTGATGCACTACAATTGCTAAGGAAACATCCCTATTTGTCGCCATGTATGACAAAAATATGTAACTGTGTAAGCAGCTGTAACTATCTAAATAGCAGAGTGCTTTCTTAAGATGTATAAATATGTAACTGTGTAGACAGCTGTAAATAACATTCTTTTCTTCTGCATTGACACTAAAATACTGATGTGTTGTGGTTTACAGCTAGGCTGCAATATTTGCAGTTTTAGGAGAAGCTAGTTAGGGGTTAGTTTGCCTTGTTAGGGATCTATTCTTGACTTCTGCCAAAAGTGGGACCCTGGAACCCAAATTGTGCTCAATGTCAGTGGTACCTGCCTCTCAGATGGCGACCCCGAGGAAAGCATCAGGGTCATGGAAACTGTGCTCAATGTCAGTGGTACCTGCCTCTCAGATGGCGACCCCGAGGAAAGCATCAGGGTCATGGAAACTATGCTCAATGTCAGTGGTACCTGCCTCTCAGATGGCGACCCCGAGGAAAGCATCAGGGTCATGGAAACTGTGCTCAATGTCAGTGGTACCTGCCTCTCAGATGGCGACCCCGAGGAAAGCATCAGGGTCATGGAAAACTGTGCTCAATGTCAGTGGTACCTGCCTCTCAGATGGCGACCCCGAGGAAAGCATCAGGGTCATGGAAACTGTGCTCAATGTCAGTGGTACCTGCCTCTCAGATGGCGACCCCGAGGAAAGCATCAGGGTCATGGAAACTGTGCTCAATGTCAGTGGTACCTGCCTCTCAGATGGCGACCCCGAGGAAAGCATCAGGGTCATGGAAACTGTGCTCAATGTCAGTGGTACCTGCCTCTCAGATGGCGACCCCGAGGAAAGCATCAGGGTCATGGAAACTGTGCTCAATGTCAGTTGTACCTGCCTCTCAGATGGCGACCCCGAGGAAAGCATCAGGGTCATCGAAACTGTGCTCAATGTCAGTTGTACCCGC